CCGAGAGCCCGGGTTAAGCACACCGCTGATATGGTACATTACTTGGGTCAGAGCCAAAGGAAATCCCCTTCCCCTTTCTCATACTCATTCCTATTCAGAGCTTTCCATGCTCTCACTGGACGTCATCAATTTCTTTACTTTTCTTTCGCAAGCGAGCTTTCCGACTTAGAATTTGGAAGGGAAGTCGAAGTGAAGATTCTGAAGACATGAGTCTTTAACGCAGTGATTTGTAAGTATTATAACTTGATTCTGAAAGGTTGTGAAATCTCTGATCACTCCCTTTCCTGAATCAATAAATACATTTAAGCGGAGCAAACCTGAATACAGTCTGGTAAAAAATCTGTGACCTAGCAACTAATTGTACACTGTAGTAGATCCTAGCGATCACGCGATTGTTCTTCTAAAAACAGGGAATGATCAGGAAATATGTTACATCATAACAAAAACAATGTTTTATTGTGTTCATTACGAGATAGGAGTTAAGAGCCGGATCAAGGCTGTCAACCAAAGCCCTATTAAGGGAATATACAGGGTGACCCACATGAAATGTGACGGGCAATAAAAAAATCAACTTATGGGCTTTTGGGCTGGAGGAAGCGGTGATCGCTTTGGCGGAACGTCAGCGGAACCTTCCACAGAATTGGGCACCAGCCCAAAGCGCAAAGAAGATGCTGCAATGTTGTGAAACCACGCTTCCGTGTTTTTGGGGCGAAGCAGTTTTGACCTTCAAATTCCCCGATCTCAATCTTTTGGATTTTGGGGTATAGTCGATTCTGGAGCGAAAAGTCTGTGCTTTCAAACACAGGTCTTAGGAACCTCTGAAAGGAAGTTCTCTCGTAGAAGCGTGGGATGAAAGTGATTGCGCGCATTCTTGAAAACATCCGAATGAGGTTGGGTGTTTGCATTAAAGCGAAAAATGGTCATTCTGAATGCGAGATGTGATATGTTGTTTACAATTTTCTGATGATTGTGTAGGAGTAATAGTTTCCTATTTGGTCTGATCTGTATAATCTTGATGCTAGTTTTCTGCGTCACACTTCATGTGGGTCACCCTGTAGTGGATGTTTCACGTCTCAGAAAGGTAACCCTTGGGCATCAACATATGATATGTAAATATAATAGTTTCTCGTCCGAATACTAGTAAACAGTCCGTCTCATCTGCTAACATTCTGGCCGAATGGTGACATTGCGACTATAGCGTCGGTAGTGGAATGAATCGATTTGTGACAGGCTATCCATTACGAAATACCTCATTTAGTTTTTCGAAAGCGATAGTGAAAAATGTTTCAAAGCAAATTCAGAAGCGGCTGGTGGCTCGAAATCTGTCTGATTGGAAAGCCTCACCGTCTCCATTGGGCTGATAATTATGTTGAAAATTTCTCCTCCTTTTTTGATCTTCCAATCTTGCCAAATCCAACCAAGATTTTCATCCAAACAAAGTCGTCAAATTGCACGGTCGTTAAATTGCACCACACCTGTCCGGGAAGGGGGAGACTGCCTATTCCTGGGTTGGCCATTGCGCGTATTGGGACCGCCACATACCATGTGTCATTGGGACTGCCTTGAAAGCGTCACTAGTATTCCGCATTGGAAGTCGAATGAGCGGGGGTACCCCAAAAGGGAATTGGTCAATGAAAGGAAAGACTCCACCCTTCATCATGCAAGGCGAAAAATGCTTACTGGTTATTTCTTGCTGACTTTTCTCAACTATTTTATAGGAATTGGAGTTAGTTTGCAAACTTATATGGTATTTCATTCGCCTTTTAATGGTGAAGTTCAGGTGAATTTCTTGCTTAAAGTTGATGTGTTATAAGTATAGGGCTACATAAAGCTTCTGTTGCTTCAGAAGAAGCAAGTGGCAGCTCTTACATGCAAAATTTCACTCTGGTCGCTGTACTTCTGTTCAGAATGGGAATACCCTATCAAGCAATTTAATTTATCAAGCGCACGGCTCGTTAATGGGATATAAAATTGGTCCCAGTGATGCAAGCGGGCATATTCTTTATCAGTGACGCTAATGTTACTTAAAACAGGCGGCTACTTCGTTAACTCTTCAAATTACACTCTTCAAATCTCTGCTTTAAGGATATGGAAAGAAGTTCCGTAGGGCAAGAAGAGCCATTTTTTCAGTCAGAAGGTTCCGACTATTGATCGAGTGGTCCTTAGGAAGTTGATCGCCTCGCTTTAATCTTTTTATTAGCAAGCTCCTCACCAGAGCAAGTTGTTCGAAGGTTTAAGCCCTCAATCAAGTTCTCAGCTTCGGATGGAATTCAGGGAAAGTGTTCGTTTTAACCATCGTTAGGCTTGTGCTCGAACATATGCAAATACTCGTTCCACATCTCTCGTGTAATTCTATGGCAAACGAACTCAGTGGTTTTGAAAAAAAATTAATTCGATCTATTTTTTTNTTTTTTTCTGCGCGGTTGCTGTTTTACGGCATCTGAATTCGTTTGCTATTACATATGTACTTGCGTTGTTCTGAAAGCAGACACTTGTCTTCCATGAAGTTCACTCTGCCTCTCCGAGTCTTCCTCTCCCATGATCACGTAATGAATGAGCGAGAGTGAATGCATGTTTTCCTGAAAGCAAAACTATATTTATGATGGTTGGTTCCAGAAAGATGCAGGCGTAGCTAAAGCTGTGGTGAAGGTCATCAGAAACTCTGTGTAAGCTGGTAGTCATTTATCGGAAAGCTGAAGCTCATTCCATTCTCTGTTTCGTGTATCTAGCTATTTTTGCTACCAGACTGGACTAATCATGAGTCCATCAGATCGTTTAACTCATCTTACTTCAACCTACAACATCATTGTCTTCGGACGCAACTCACAACTCATCCTCAGTGGCAACAAAAGGTGTAGGGTTCGTTGTAATAAAAACTACTGGGGATTTGGCCAACAGAAAGGATTCTCATTATTGGTGGCCACCAGGGTCTGCAGAGGCATGTTAGGAGTGGGATTATTCCTCACTAACGTAGTGAGTACGAGAAGGGTGTTATTGTTCATCGATGAACCCTTCGTAGTGAAATTCTTGGATATAGTCCGGAAGACCTCACTACTTTATCTCTTTTTATTATGAGCAGTCGATTGAAGGGACTCAACAAATCATTTGTTTTTTTCCCATATTTATTTGTCACTTCTCTAACCATAGCGAGAGAGTATTCAAACTTCTCTTGTATGGAATTCTATCTCCTTCGGCACTAGTCGCATATCCGATGTCACTATAATTGCAACATTGTAATTTTTTTTGCAGACCATCTCACTGGGAAAATTTATGTCCAAAACGAAGAACAATGATGTTAGGTGGCTTTCCAACATTCACCATATCTGCACTGTGTTGCTTTATGCGATATTCCAGCTGAGTCTATTCATGAACCTCTATGTCCTGCTGAGTCGAGAGGATACGATTTTCTACCTGAGGCTCTATCATTTGGTGAGCCTATTAAAATACCTTTTTCCGAGAACATAAACATGGCGGCTCCCTGTTTATGTTTAAACCAATTGATGGACCACCCTCCATGATCTGTTACATCTTTAGTCTTGCTCTCTCTCCTAGCAGGATATTGAGACTGGGTTCGATGGCTAGTCCACCCCATCCGTTACTATTTACTATTATAATATTAGCTTTGCCACTTTGTTCCAATAAGTTTCTCGATCAGCATATGTAACTAGGGCCTGGGAAAGAAGGGAAGGCGTATCTCCCTATGCAGTAATTCGAACTTCAAAAAGAATCGTAAAAGGAACGGTTCCCTCGAATTGTTCTCAAGGAGTATTCGTGGTTGACAGGGTCGTCCTTCCGAACGGTCACTAGATGCAGATCAAACAGGAACTACTATCGTAAGAGCTTCCGTTTACACTGTCGGATTCAACTTTTCATGCCCACTATAACTGATCTTATCAGCGCCGTGGTTGCGTCATCGCTGCACAGGTGTGCATACTTCGAAAAGGGGTACAGGTGCTAGAGTTTACCAGTTGTGGCGAACTAGTAGCTTTACCTCCTACGACCTCCCTACGGTTGAAAGAGTACAACCAGTTTTCGTCTTCGTTATATCCCCATGTATGGGGAGGAGTTGTGCAATTCCATGGATTACTTGCGTCTGCTGGCTCAACGTTGAGCACTATAAGACAAAGCAGATAGAAGACAATACTTACTTGCCTCAGACAATTCGAGTAGATTCAGTCAATTCCTTCTTAAGATTAGCTCATTATCTACCATGTGAAACTTGAGAAAGCAGTTCACGATAATTTGGGGATATTTGGTTTCAGACGAATAATGGAAGTGGTCATCCACAGTGGCGGAACTCGGTCTATTTAAAAAATTATGAAGATTCAAAATCGTAGTAAAAAATTGTGAACTAAAATGGACGACAAAAGATGCATGAAAGAGTTGGACGGGCTCTCCAAGTGAGTGTGCCAATGCGCGCAGGTGTCCATCGTAAGCTACGTGCGTGCAACGTGTGGGTCCCAGTGCGGACGGTGCGATTTCTACAGCTTTTACAACTTCATGAGAACTCGTTTGCTAGAATGTGTGCGTCAGCTTTGCCGGTTTCAGGCCCCTGTTACGCCCTACCTAGGCCGTTTTTCGACCACACGTCCATCTTAGGAAGAGTTCTCAGGAACTGTTCTCATCGTGAATTACGCTTTCGAATTCGAGCAACTCCGTATAGGTGGACTATATTACTTACCAGCTCGTCATTCCTATTTGCTGTTGGATTTCAAAAGGTTGAATAACAATGTTCGAATGAGTGGGTCTGATTTATCTTCAATACCAATGGCTTTGTTGAGAAAGGTTAACATAAAAGCGGGACTACTTGAAGCTTTAAGGATCTAAACCCATTAGTCGAGGTCACATCAAAAACAGCGCAGTACTTACTCCTCTGATACTATTCACAACCAGCTACCAAAATGTAGACAAGGCGTTTCAACATTGTAGCGTTCACCAGGACTGGTGGGAAAACAGTCTTCTAAGGATTGCGATGTTCCTACCTCAAAGTCGCTCAATATTAGCGCGAACTAATAAACTGCGCAGCTGCTGGAGAAGGTCACGGGCCTTTTTCGGAGGATATCAGGAAGGGTTCACGATTATCACCCAGTCCAAATTCTTCTCAAGTCACCTTGAAGTATGGATCTACTCAGCTTGAAGGAAGCACGATTTCTTTCGATTTTTATTTTTTTTTGTTTTTTTTTTGCACAATGTATTTTGTTCACTTTGAAGATAATCGCCCTGTTGATGTTCTGCTGTGGATTGATCGAAGTCGAGTTCCTAATCAGAACACGAAAGTTGGAGAAACTGGAAGAACCTCATGAAATTCCTGTACCAGCTCTTATAGGTAAATAGTTTCTTGTTTTTGATGCGATTGATACATCTGGCAAGTCTGTTTCTGGTACTTGTATCGTTCTTCGCACTATGGAGGGTCAGTTTGATGGTTATGCTTACAAATCCGGCCTAAACGAGTCCCGTAACATTCGACCAGAAACGTTGTAAGAATTGCAGAATTGCAATAAGTATTAGTGATGAGGAGCCGTATTAATCACAGATCAGAGAATAGATCATCTGACACTGGCATCAGTATTCACGCTCCCTTTACAAGTAGAATTAAATTTTCAGTAATGTCTTGCCTCCGCTGATATACACTGATTACATCGCTGACCGCTTCATCACGATACCTGAGCATTTCGAAGTCGACAAATGTTTACAAATATCGAATAAACAGTCACAATAAAATAGACTCTCAAAAGGGCTAAACACACACGTGTTCAGCCTTCTGAAGTGTTATGTAAAGAAGTGTGGAACTCAAGACCAATAACTAAGAAAACCGCTGTTTGAAAAAGAACATAGAAAGAACACTTCTGGGCGATGATGTTGCGTTATGGGAGCGTTCCAAGCAATGGGGCAATAACATGCGTTAGCTTATTCAAAGCATACTGTGTTACAGCTAGTGATTAACAATTGGGCAGTTCGCTATTTCGTTATTATATCAGGGACGTATAATTTCTTTGAGATTATGCCTGAGAGGGGAGGGGAGAAGCAGGGATGGGCGAGTTTCTAGCTTTTTGCACGAAGTAGTTATCAAACCTACGCCGATGCTCCAACCCTCCTAATGCTTGGTTTAAAAAAGCTACATCTCTCTGGCTAGGACCTCATAAAAGAGCATAGATGACTGGTGCGGATGCCGTGCAAGTCAAAGTGGTCGCTTCGGATTCGGAGCGACGACGCGCATGAAGGAATGTGGCAGAATGAAGCAGAAGCAATGCAGCGAGTAAGGGCTGCAGGAGCAAAAGAAGTTACACTAGAATCATGCCAAAAATGATAATCGCATATCAATAATCACGAATATAGGAAACTTCGAAGCACTATGGTTCCGCGTCAAGAAACGTTTAGGTGAAGAAAGAGTGGTATCGTAAGCTGTGCCGGTGCTTGTGTGTATAAATAGAAGTTATCGAATAAAATATATGGTACAATATATGGTCTTATTTTTCAGGGGCTGTGGCACTGACGATTGGCATCGTGCTCGGCTATCTTTACTTCATCATATTCAACTATGCTTTCCAGGTAAAGTGGCATGAATAGCTTTCCAGAACAACTATGAACAAATATAAAATATAAATATATTTCCTGTGTCAGTTGGAACTGTGTTATTTCTCGCCTCATTTAAAGACTTTTTTTATGGAAAAAGCGAAAAAGCGGTATGGTTATTTACGTATGCAGCATCTACATACTATTTTTTTCAAGGCTTTCACTCAATCTGAAGGGAGGGTGGGTTTGAGGACAACGTGCAGGAAAGTACGAATTTTCAGCAAAATTAGCGTCAATTTAGTTGGAATGGTTGGTTAGGGCACACAGTACACCTGCAACATTTTATATCCATAGCGAATTGAACTCGTGGTTTATGAATACTATTAAGAACTGCGACAAACTCGTTGATGCGATCTACAGTTCTGAGCTATGGTTGGAATCATGCTACGATGTGCTAATGGCTGCTTTTTCTGCTCTGTCTCTGGTCTACATTCTTCAGCGCAGATACTACGGTGCTATCAATTCAAATCTCGATAAGTTATGCACTTTTAAAAAATAAGCTTGGAGAGTATTATAGATTTATGTACTTCTCATTCGTAAGTGGTTAAACAATATGCGAGTCGCCCAACAATGAGTAGTGAACTATAAATACATTGTATAGCAGTACACTAAGGCTAAGCCCTCGTGGCTTCTCATAGAGAAGAGCAAAGGATCACCACAGTCAACTTAACTATGCCAGCGCCAGGTGCCACGAATTTGTTGCTATCGCGCATTTGCCGGATTTTAAGCTGAGACTGTAGTTGTTGGGTTCTTCTCTGATTGAGCTTTACGGCGATGTTAGGTGGAGATGCATACAGTAACCGGTAAGGTATGGCATGTTTGTTGTTAGTTTTTCAATGTCCCAAATACTCGGACTATACGACAATACTAAATAAGCAAAGTAACCAGGCATATCTTCCGACAATTTTTCATGGGGCACTCGTCAAAATGTATTTGGATCTACCATATTCTGATGTCGCTTGGAATGAGCCGCTATTCATTGAAAAATTCGTGCTCCACCTTGTCTATCCACTAGTTTTTGGAAGTACGACTAAACTACCTGGGGCGAGAAATTGAATAAGCACTTTTCAGATCGGTCGATTGTTCATTAACATCACATTTTCTGTTGTGTGGATCAAAGTTGTTGTTTATAAAGGCTATCTAAGTCATCAGGTATGGTCGAATTTCACCGCCAGCCCCTCGCGGGTGTGCCTGTCTCTGCTAGCGCTTGTTTAGGAACTATGTCAAAGAAAAGAACTGGAAAGCTACTGGTGCCCAGTGATGAGACGGAATTACGAGTGCTCACCGGCGAACGATCTTCACGGCACGCAAAAAATGTGGTACGTTGTCCTTTCATCTGCCAGAATTTGAACTACGATTAGCTCGGGATTTCAAAGACAACTAAAAGCCAGTGTCACGTTAAGGTATTACATCAATAAGGGCGTATTGTCGAGTTCAATCATCTCTTGTGCATCAGAGTTCTTTCCTGTACTATTGGTTGCCCATTGGTTAGCGTGTGGAGGAGCAGAAGAGAAAGCAGAAGACATCCAGCGGCGTCGACAGGTTGACTGATGCTTAATTTTATGAAAACTATGATTTTTGAAAATGTGGTGAAATATGCTTAGGGTAGATTCTCCGATCACTGCCCACTCTCACAGATATTTTTTGACAGAACTCCCTAGCAAGTGGTTGCTGTTGTTCAGTGCTTGGGTGGCAGGTCAGATACGGGAAGCACACCTAGTGTCGTTTTCGATCCATATTATTTATTTCAAAGTTTCCAAGACACTCAAGGTTGGGAGAACATCGTTTCCCTATGTAGCTGGCGTTGTATTCGCTACTGGAATTCGGGAAAGAAAGGTGTTATGTAGCAACCAAATGTTCATAATCCCGTTCCATCTTAATTCCCTCGAACAGACTCAGTTCATAGTTCAGCAACTCTCATTATTAAATTGCTAAGATTAGGTTAGAGTCGTTTCATGGTGATGCCTAGGCTGACGGTGGCTGAGAAAAAAACTTAAGTGAGGCTGCAGCACAGAGAGCTGTTGATGCTAATCAACTTGAGACTCCTTGCCAACAAGATCCAATCAAGATTATGACCCTTTGAACACGTTTTACTCCGATAGGTTCCTTGCCATTGTCATGCGTATTTTTTCTGTATACACCCATAAATTCGGAATAAACTTGGGAAGCATTCTGGAATATTCGACGACCAACCTGAGAGATGGTCGAGAAGAAATGACAGTAGAAAGAAATGACAGGAATGACAATCAGTGCAGTTGGCATCTGCAATGGATGATAGAATACAATTTGGTGTGCACAAGGGAAATCTTTTTGTTACTCCTACTACTTTGAGTTTCAGCTTCGCCAAGGTGTACGAGGGCTGATGCGGGAATTCTTGAAGGATATATCTCGAGTTTACACTGCGAACACTGCTAACAATTCCCCACCACTTGTAATTAGGTGAATCTAATCTCGTGGTCGTGTGGGAGGTTTTTCAACATGACAGTAAAACTTAGAATCTGATGTGATATATTTTTAATAATAAATAATGATATTTTTAGGAAATCGTTGCTTTGGTTCTTTTGGGTAGCGGCACCCATCACTTCAGTAGCTTGCGCTGTAAGGTGGATGGTGTATTTCTACTGGACGATAGGTAAGACTACTTCCAAGCGGTATAAATATGATTTGCTGAAGCAGCTACGTTTTCTCCCATTCACTCTCGTCTTTTCGGAGAATGAAGGGTAAATGAAAAACAAAGGAAAGCTGACAGGTACTCCATAGTTCTTTAGATTTCGATCACCTAATGGAAATGCACTGGGCAACCAACGACTATGTCTCGCTTGTTGCTAACATTCTTCAGCTCATTCTTTTCATTGCAGTGAGTTTGTTCGTCTCCTACTTTGCTTATTTCATCGGACCTATGCTTGTTACAGTTCTACGTGTTCGCAAGAGGCCTGAGTAATGACAGACTTGATGCTCATCACAAAGCTCATGCGAGAGGAGACATCGCTATTTTGTTTGGCTGCTGTGTCATTCTATTTGTCAAGTTTGTGAGCACACTAAGGTTGATTTGATCTATGCAAGATAAAATCGCAAAAAGTGGTTCTTTCAGATTTTGCAATCGATTGAGGTGGAATTTCAACGAAAAGATGGCTTTGTCGATACAGTTGATGCAATCACTGCAACGACATCTTATGCTGCCGTTCAGGTTAGCATTTCAAATGTTGTCTGGAACACTACATATTTAAATACCCAGTGATGAGCACGCTTTGCTTTTCCTTTTTCAGACCTCTCAGTGGCTACAGTACCTGTCTATGCGTCGAATTTTAGCGATGTCAGATCGCGACTGTAGAGCTACAAAACGATTTCTGCCGTTGGTTGCTTCCGGTGAGTCCCTTACGTTAGCTGTACTATAAAAAGTTGGAAAACAGTCTCTGGTACCACTTCACAATATCTTACTTGAAAAAGGGCTTTTCAAAGCATTGAGTAGATTTCTATAACGAGTCGTTCCTATGTAGGTGGGCTGCTCATGGCATGGATTCATTTTGGGATCACCTTTTTCGACACTTCTCTAATCAAGTACCAGTTGACCGACGAGACCTTCAAGTAAGCACCCGTATTATACTTAATTCCTTTTTCCTGTCTACAAAATTGTTTTTGAAACGAATTTTGCAGTTTTTCACAGACAACGCTGGTTTGTATGATTTTCACCCAAACAATCTTTCCTGCAGACTATTTGTTCGCATTCACCGTCAGTGGCTGCTATTTGGAGCTCTTACAGCGGTTTCTTTCCATTTCACTGAATGGCCATTTCTTTGGAGCTTTGTGACATATGCCATTATTTTAAACTTTTCAGATATATAAACATGGGATTCTTCCAGCTGGGTACTCCTCGAATGAGCATCAGCCACTCCCAAAGTCATGGTGATGAAACACCCGAGGTTTGAGCTTTTTGGGGCCATATCCGAGAAATATATGGTCGCACAGCTGGCATCTCTGCCTCACCTTAAAAGGATCGTACGAATATGTCAGTTTTCCAAAGCAATCCCAGAAAGAATTTTATGCAGTGCATTGCGTGTAGCTCTCCTAGCAGTACATTGAGATGTGCAACCAATACGGTAGGCGAATGGTTGTGCGATCTACTTCGGATGTGATCGTTGAGACGAGCTTGGGGTTTAGGTGGGTTTCTATATCCGTCTGGGTGGGACACGTTCGTCATTACGTGAAATCGCGGCCCGGGAACAGAATCGTCATAAAGAAGTCAATAGGAAGTCAGAGGGCAGGGTGGAAAAGGGGAGCGGCGCAAGCCATGGTAACACTGGGAGTTTACCAGAGAGAAAAGAATTTTCTTCGGCTGTATGTATAACAGTGCCCGCTACCTCATTTTCTGTTTTCTATTCATTCATGCTCCATGAATATAATAGAAAATGCATCTTCCTTGATCGCTCGAAAACGCCTGAGATACATGTGGACACAGAATAAGGTTTCAGGTTAACAAACGTTTCCAAAACGGTCCCAACATTGCTACTATGATGCACGCGGCTAATGTCATGTATAGAAAACGGATGGAAAGCGACAATGAGGTCTGTAGTTTATTCCTATTTCGTCAGCTGATGTACGACAGGTATTTTACATATCAGGATGATGTTGCCTAACTGATGCCATGTTTTTTCCAAAAAAAAANAAAAAAAAATTATTCTGGGATTTTGAGTTGTGTCGCATATCAATTGAAAAATATCCTACGACATATAGCGCGCTAATCGTTTCAAATTTTAGTGGGTACAGGATTCAGGAGGGGAACACTTATGGTAAATGGTGGAACTGCATTCGCCTACGAGGGGTGGGGCATGTGCAGAAATTTGAGCATGTGGGAAATTTTTAACTCTTATTCAGAAGACCTTGAGCGTTCAAATTGGCTAGGGGTGAAGCAGGCGGATGGGAACACTTAAGATAAGTGACAGCACTTGACTCCTCCCCCAAGGGCAGGGCTTGCGTGGAAATCGTTAGTTTGAAGCTTCGGCGTACAAATTCGTATTGGTACAGGTGACAGCACTGTGCCACTACGGAGTGTACTGACACAAGACACCCGCCTACGAGGGCATGTGGAGGGGGGTGGACTGAACGTGCTTAAAGTAAGCGTAATCTGAGGAAAAATACGCGAACAAGTTGGAATAAGTGGGGGATGCGCCAAGTTACTCGAACACAAAAGACTTGAGTAGGACTTCGCTCATTCGCTAGTGAGGCGGGCGCGTAGAAAGTGTGTCAGTGCAATTAGTAACTCCTGCCCTCTCAAACAAGAGCATCCAAATCTAAAAGAATTCAGACGGCGGGCCACCTTCGAAAAGGAGTAAAGTCTGGCTTTAGCCGAGCAATCCGTCTGGTTCATATAAACATCTGTTCTGAGAAATTGTTTATATTGCCCTCAGGATTGTTATGCCTTCGGTTGAATGAGTTCAGGTCGACTGAAGTGATCCACAGCTGCAACTAATTACTATTATATTTGTCATTACAACAATTATGCCAGTGAAGTTCCGTTCAGTCACTCTTTTTTTTTNTTTTTTTTTGTTTTGGGTTGGCAAGTAAGCCCCGTCTTTTTAGTCGAATTTTAAAACATCAAACACTGTTCAATAAGCTTCCTCGACTCTTGAACCAGCCTTTTTTCTCATCTCACCGCTGAGCTGATTTCTCCTTGTGATGGATACCCCATCGACAAGAACACGCCCTTAAAACATCAAACAATTGCTGTCGAATACATTGCATCAAATACAGATCAGTCACTGATTATGAAGTACAGACGTGCGGCTCTTTGGTGTACTGTACCGGTTTAGCCCAGCTCTTTGCAATTCAAATTTTTCTGGCGTGCATATAAGAATATTGTTTTTTCAGACATCATCTTCAATAAGTTCTGCATGTATCGGTGTGGGCGGATTAAAAGAAGAATAATAACAACACATCCACTCGGCCGTTGTGTAACAATAAATTTTATACAAAACTTGGTGAAGCATGAAATGAGGAAGTCATGCATCGGAAGATTTTCGATAAATACCTTTTTACTTTGTTGTTGAGGATGATTAGTAAGGAAGCGATCTTTGTTTAATCGAATTACTTTCTTACTATGAACCATCAGTGCTTTTGTTCACGGTGGAGCCGGGGCTTGCTGACGACTTCGTCCGGAGCTCCAGGCTAGTAGACCAAGAGGGGACCTCAAACGAGATATTTATCATACCGAAGGATCCTGAAACAACTAGAACCCACAACCAAAGACCACAACACGACTAAGCAACGTATGCTCTCCGCATCGCTACCATAGATTGGGGAAATCATCAAACATGACGCGATACACATATGCAGGGCACACATGTAGAATTTCGTGAAGAGCTGAGGGAGCCGCGTAGAACTTTTTTTGAAATCAGGAAAAGTAATCGTGAATAATAAGTTTCAAATCGACTTGACACACTTTGAAGAGAGGACGAAGACGAAGAAGAAGACGAGCAAGCCCCGAATAGTTAGCCGCAAATCAAGCCAGAGGACTCCTTGGTCATGCCGAAATTAATCGAGAGTACGCCATGGACCTCTGCAGTGCTCCTTCATTGCTCTGCTTAATCGGTTCATGAGAATCAGAGAATCTTCCGGTAGTCTTTTTCTGGAATCCTCCTTCTCAGCCTGATTCTAAATGGTCGCGAGGATTGGACTGATCTACGGTAAGTGGCCCAACTTACAATTGCGTGATGACCTCTGAGGTGTNGAATTTCCGTAGGGTAGTTGAGGCGTTTGGTCGGGTAGTCATAAATTGCTTCGATCTTCCCAGGCTCTGAAGAAGGCGATACACGCCGGAACGTAAGCTGGAATAAAGGATTTTTATCAACCTCGTCCGAGTTCAAGCAGTGAAAACCAACTTTTGCACTATGCCGAAGTTAGAGATAGCCGTACATGGCTCCCATAGTGGTTTTGAACAAACGAATTAGTCAATTTTCGACAAAGCTTGAGCCAACATGAGTGAGACGGTCCGTTTTATTGACCATGATGATTAGAAGCGAGTGCAGGTGCATTTCATGCAAGGCACCATTCTTGTCTCAAAGCTCCATTGTTGTCATGTTGCATGCTACATGCTTACATTGTTTGGTGCCGAAAATATAGACATGTTTGTTGCGGTGCATACAAGGCTTAATTTGTCAGCCAACTCATCACATTTAAACGGCTTCGTCTGCTAATACCCACCGGTTAATTTGATACCGGTGAATCTCTGAGTAGCTACTGCAAGCCTAGTGGATAAATGCGTAGGCGCATTTATCCATTAGGCTTTTGCTCTTGGACCAGATTAATATGGTACACAACCAGAGGATGTTGCTGAGATTATAACAAAAATAAGTTAGTTGAGGAAATCAGCAGCTGAAGGAGATAGCCGGTAGTTGTCTTAGAGGATTGCTCCTGCCCTGCTCGAGGAAACTTTTCTTGAAAAGATCAACGATGTCTTTATTCCAATCAGTATAATCAGTATCAGGCCTGCGGTCTGGTTGGAGCGAGGCGAGTTGCAAAGGCAGGCGACGGAAAGCCGATTACGGAGAGCGCAGGATCGGGTCGGCCACTGCTAGACGCATATGTGGGTCCAGCCGTCGCCAGTCAAGGTGCAATGATCAAATTTTATAAGAATCCTCATTGTTTTTTACTCGACTGAGAGAGTCCCACTCATGCAACTCATGTTCAGACTGAGTAGGATCAACCCATCTATTCCTGGAAATGTGATGGAATCCTATGGGAGCTTTTGATTGAATTCATTGATTTGCTCATCATCCGTTAGACCCGCTAGGTTGATAGTGCAAATCCAACGCGTTTATTCAAAGGTCGAGTAAAATGTACCTATGAAGACATCATCAATTATCCATGAGTATTCTGGAATAACGTAATATAGTCCTACCAGGAGACACTGGCTTAGTAGACCGGTAGCGGTAGCGCTGCGGAGGGGGTGATACTTTTTTTCAACGACTCACGAGGAAGGTCTTTCAGGGCGTGGGACACTTTTTGAAAATGGCTTTTTGGATGCTGTACAGAAAGGCGCATGAACAATGAGTACAGAACTATGGTCCATTTTCGCTAAATGTCCTTCTGAAAGCCAAAAAAGGAGTGAAAATGATTTTGTCAGAAATTGCCATTTCAACCCACCAAACGTCGTTTGGTTCATTCATGGCGTCGACTCTCCGCACGGTAGAAGGCGCCAGAGGACTGCGCATTGAAAATAACGTTAACGTTAGCCAAAAAAGGGATGTCGTTGAGCCACATGTTGAGTATCACCGTCAGTCATTACCAGTAAAATCCAGCTTTCAGAGGTTATCGCTGGTCCTGGTCATGCCTATGACCATCAGGCACTTGCTTTGGCCCTGGTGCAATATGGATTCAATCTGGAGGTGACAGCATAAAATGCAAACCTGGCGGCGTCTCGGGTATCCCAACCATCAACCCAGCTTGGTCGTATCAACTGGAAGTCCACATCGCTATCCACTACACGATCCGTCGCTGCCTGGCACTCAACCGTGGTCAGCTCCTGTATATCTGACAAAATCATTTTTACTCACTTTTTGGCTTTCAGAAGTCCATTTAGTGGAAATGGACCATAGTTCTCCACTCAGTGCTCAAGCCCCTACACTATGCAAAAAACCATTTTCAAAGCGTTCCACGCGGTGGACGACCTCCTTTGTCAGAGCAGCAAGAGGCTGTCCAGAAAACTATGACATTCGAAACTTTTTAGTAGAGCTTCTCTGACACCAAAGTGTTCTGAGGCTTGTTGACACAGCGATTCCCTTGGATAATCTTCTAAAAATGGGTAATCTAGTCTGGAATTACATCGCATTAATACGATAGCTCCAAGCAACAATAACCCACTTGTCATAGGTTAGCATGGAACCAGAATAAAGGCTATAAAAGGCTGAAACTTTCAGTTTAAGACTTCTATAAAAGGCTGAAGATTTAACTTCAAGACCAGCAACGCATCCAGTTGCTGAGTTCTTTTCTTGTTGCCTCCAGAATTTTCAGGATGATGTTATGTTGACAGAAATTCAAGAGACTGGCAAAATTCTCTATTTTGCTCACATTTCACCCGCAAGCAATTTTGAAATCTCATGGAAAAGGCTTGAATTTGAGCTCAATCAACGAGCTGAAAAAAATTTGCTGTGATGAGGCTCTTTCATGGGTTTGTGAATATATTATTTAAACTCCAAAAGTCCTCTATTACCATTATTCCAGTCATTCGAAGACGTCGTTCCTGCTTTTGCTGCTGTCGACCTGAGGCATCGAGGCACTTTAGCGGTGAGTTCTAAATTCTACACCCGTCGAAAGGAAATCCATGAAAACTATTCAATGTGCCCACGTCCAAAGCACCTTTGGATCGGAATTATTATGAAAAGGACGCCTTCGCTGAATATCTGATACACAAATGCATTGCAAACTACACGTTCGTCTCAAGCTATGACAATCAAGAACAGCTTTCCAATTATACGAATGTGAGTTACCGTTACAAGCGCCCATCTAGTAGCTGCTCAACTCGATCAAGTTCAGTCACAGTACTATGCCACTATCTCCCCTTCAAACATTGGAAGTGGTATTCGACTCCAAGTCCCGTGCTCGAATTGCCTATACACCAACAAAGCTTGTTCACAGCATC